GTCTCTGTAAGTTAGCAGAACTGTATAGAGAACCAGTGCAATTAATGCACTACATTTACAAAAGAAAAAAAATAATTTGTAAGTAAAGCATTGGAGGGCAGTAATACAGTCCGATATATAAACATTATATAATCAACTAAAGAATGCATTGGTTGTATTTTATTACATGTTTGTGTTATTGAGGTCTCAGGTTAGCAGTTTATTTGGGATAAAAGTATCTGGGAAACCTTTTTGTTTAACCATGGAAACCTAGAAGCCCTCCAGCTTACTTGCACCTCCACCTGCTGCACAAAAGCCTAATTGGAAAGAAATTAATTTTGTAATGGGTATTGCAAGAGCACAGTTTTACACAACATATAATAAATATTTCATTCTCATAAATCAGATACATAGTGCATCTATAGAGCTTTGAAAAAAGTTATGATAGTTTAATCCAGATATGAAAGGAAATTGGAAAGAATTAGAATAAACAAATATAACATAAAAAGTAACAAGGAGAATATGGTTTGTAGGTGTGGCTAGAGTAGATTTAGCAAATAGTATGAAATATATGAATGAACACTACAAACTTCTGGTTTATAAAAAGAAAAAAGTGGAAAAGCCTTGCATGATTATGGCAAAAAGTACTGTGGAAATCCAAGATCATGGACTGTAGGGATTTGATAGTTAGGTTCTGCTTGAAATGGAAAAAAGAGTTTAGCACAAAAATGCAACTGCTGTTTTACCATTACATTTTACAAATGTTAAACATTTTTGTGAGAAGTTTCAGGCTATACCTTAGAATAAGAAACAAATGATTATCAGATGAGTGTTTTATAAAGGAATATGTTTTTTTGTATTTTTAATGTTTTGCATATTAATACATCACCTTTTTCTTAATTTTCCAGATGGTAGGAAGAGGGTGGTGGTTGCTGGTGTGGACACTGTGCGCTGCTTGGACGGTGTGCGTTGTGCATGGAGGGTCAGTGTGCCAGCAGGGGCAGGAGTTTTACAACAGTCAGCAGGGGAAGTGTGTGCCATGTACACGCTGTCATGGTCCCCTGGTGGTTGCAGTGCCTTGTTATGTGTACCAGGATGCTGTTTGTGCTCCGGCGACTCACTTCATCCCAACCTGGTCAAGGCACAACCGACCCCAAGCCCCCATCACCCTCTCCACACCCACCACCCTGCAAAACCAAACAAAAGAGGAACGTGGTCATGGAAAACGGATTCCAAAGCTTTCCAGTGGTAGTCACAGTCCATCAGATAGCAAAAAGTCTGGTCATCACGGGAGCACAACTAACAAAGACAGTAATGCCACCTCACATAAAAGTAACCACAAAAGGCAGAACAGTAGTTCGATACTTAGCCAAAATAACACGGAGAAAAGCAGAAGAGAAAACTTGAATCACCACCACCGTCACAAACACAGTGGGGAAAGGAGTGACCACAGATCACATGAAAAATCTATGGTGGTGATGAAAGGTGCCAGTGTTAGTCAGAGAAGTGGTGGTGCTAGTGAGGACGTAAGTGTTAGTGCTGTCAGCGTGTCAGTTAATGGAGTTGACAGAAAGGGTAGTAGTGATAGTGAGTCATTGAGTGTGGACATCAGTGATGGTGCTAATAGTGATAAGGACAGAAACAGTGACAGTCAAGAGCTGGAGACATTTGACTGGCAAAAAACTTTATTTTTCACTACTATCATTGTTATAAGCATTAGTGTCATTGTGCTCAGCGTTTTTATAATTAGTCATTTAAGAAATATCTTCACACGGAGGAAACTAAGTAAGTATAAATAATTAGCATGGCTTATTATTATGATATGAGGGAGCATTTTGATTTTCTATAATGAGACAGGATATTACTAACTTCTTTGGCAAGTTAGAATAAAGGCCAATGCAAAAAATAATCATAGCCCTATCTCTATCTTATTAATAAAAAAGGGAGAGGGAGAGGGAGGGAGACTAAGAAATAGAGGGAGAGTAAGGAAAAGAAGGAGAAGAGAGAGAAGAAAAGGAAGAGAGAAGGAGAGAGAGAAGGAGGGAGGCAGAGGGAGAGAGAGGAAAGAGGGAGAGGAAGAAAGAGATAGAAAGAGGAAGGAGAAGAGAAAGAGAGAGGGAGAGGAAGAGATAGAAGAAGAGAGGGAAATGAAGAGTGGGAAGAGAGGGAGAGAAAAAGAAAGAGAGAGGAGAGAGAAGGAGAAAGGGAGAGGAAAAGAAAGAGAGGGGAGAGAGAAAGAGGGAAGGTGAAAGAGAGGGGGAGGGCAAGAGGGAGAGGGAGAAGGAAAGAGTGGGGGAGAGAGAGAGAGAGAGAGAATTGGGGAGAGAGAGAGAGAG